AATATTTAGAGTAATGCAATTTAAAATTAAATTAAATATTTCTTTCTAATTTGGTCTTTTTATTTTATCCCGGTTGGGTCGACATCGATTTTTAATCTTCACTTCATGAAACTTAACTCAACCTTGACTGAAATTAAAATATTTCTGTAGATTTATTTCACTTCGGATTCCTCTTAGCCTTTTAAATGTATATACAGGAAATTAACTTAGTTTACGTAAGCGAATTAAATATTAATATGTTGGTTGCCAATTATAGAATTTGCAACTTAAATTATGTAGGTAAATATTTTGATGACCTAGTCTACAGATAATGTATCATTATTGGGTTTCGAGTAATCAAGATTCCCATCAGCGGCATTAGTTTCTGTAAATTTTAAACTTTTTGTGTTGAGTTTCGTTCTCTTTTGGGTAAAAATTGAATGGACATCATTTTAAAAAGGCGGCAATTATCCCTTCACAGCTTGGTGTGCACATTTTCGATGAATAATCGCGGCTGTCGAGCGTCCGCTCAGGTCGCTATAAACCTCGCCTCTTTTATTAAAGGCGTCATTATTTCGAAGCCGAGCAAATTATAGGAAAACGCTGTTTCAGCGTTCGGGAGGCCCGTCTGAAGTGTTCGCTGCAAGACCGCGACGAATCGTCTCCCTGATCACCAATTGCCTGAGTAATTACGCATTTTCTACTAATTTGCAAGTCTGGCGAGCACAGTTAGAACAAACTAATGACCGATTGTTTCTTGTCAACTTGGTAAATTACCTATCCATTTAGGAGTTTCTCCCCGCGAGAGATTCTTTTCTCATTCAAATCTGACAGTGTCGGAAAATAACGTGACAAAGCGAACCCTTCAGCAAACTTCCCTCATTAACTCCTTAGTTCGGAATCACGTGAACTTCCCCCATATGCCGGGGCGCAAACCTGGTTTCGGCGCCCAAGTTGTGACAGTCTCACGTATCTCATGAATTTACATCGAATGCGGTCCGTGCGCATAATGCATCGATTCCGCATTAAATTATTCCTTGTGTTCTACTGAACTGGCATGTGTCTCCCGGTTCCCAGTTTAATCACCTATATTGGAAAACTCCAATCAACTAATAGCGTCACAAATTATATATCCGACTTATTTCGGATATCTTTAGGACGGGGCGCCGGCCTTTTTCCAAGAGATGCTTTCCCGCTGACCATAAATTGGAATTATTTTAGATTTACGATGTATCAAATGAAATTTCGCTTCAAGAACTTGATAAATATTTGAACGGCCGATGCGGGTTCCAATATTAAATATAAATACCCACTTTCCTTTACATTTCATTTTAACTTCTTTCATAACAACTTTGCAATCTGGTTTCAAAACCCTAAAAAAGAATTTTACAAACTCTTCCATACCACCATTCGCCTAAAAGAAAAGGAAACGAAACAAAACTTTACTTTCAATCCTTTTTCATTTTATTTGAATGTTCACACTACAAATTTAATAGATATCTCTCTGATTTGTATCTAATAGTATCATGTATTGCTGGTGTTTGCATTAATCAGTGTTTTGATATTAGTTTAGTAAATCGGTGTGCAATATATCGCAAATGTTGAAATTATGCAGGAGCATCTAAATGTTAGAAGCAACACCTGTGTCAGCAGAGACCACACGTTGTAGCGCAGGTATATTGCACGTGTTAAATTTTTGCCGGCGTCGCCGGATAAAAAGCTCCCAACACAATGATAACGTGACTGCTATAAATCGGCATGTATATGGCCTCCTGAAACGATCCCAGCCTCTGCTGTTTGCAAAACCGCACGTGAGTGTAATTAAGTCCAAACCTGCCTTTATGGTTATCACGACTTTACTAACACGATGATTTACTTTCCTTTGATAAACTCTGGATATAAACTATCTGCTTACAGTAATTACCGCCCGTTTCAGATCACGTCCGAAAAACTCCCTCAGCGACGCAACAGTAACAGCAATTAAAAATTTTTGTCGACAGTTTATTATTGTACAATTGTCGAGTTTTATTATGAAAAAAATTGTTGAAAACCGACTGGCAAGTGGAGAGTTTGCAGCACAGCCAAGTCAAGAGCTTCGTCTCAACCGTGTTTGTTCGATCCAAGAGCTCTCGATAGCTCCCCCGTTACTACGAGCATTAAAGAACCAACATCCTTCACCGGCCCTTCAATTACCAATGTGATAATGCATCTGGAAACCAAATTGACTTTGAATACGAATATCGTTATTCCGGTTCTCATTCACATACAAAAATTAATTTGAGAGCAGCCATCACCAGATTTCTCCAAGCTTATAAATATGTAAAGAATGCAAAATTTAATTTTCTTCATCACTCGGCATCGATAATCTTGTCATTTCTTAATGACTGATCAAAGTTTGACGACCTGATCGATACGAATACGCGACTAATGGTTTATTATCTTTAGAACGCGTTAACAGAAGCTTATACCATCACATGTAGTAACAAACGCCATCTGCTATTACGCTTCAGAGTCTAGTTAATCGGTGCATTATGCATAGCGTCATAACATTAGCGAATTCCTATGTTAAACTCCTACGAGGGTCGTGTTAATACGTTAATTTAAAGTCAGTAATGCATTGCGTTCGAATTGATATGGCACGTAATAGACCAAACGATCACATGGTAATGATAATTGGGTGCCAGCACAGTGGTCAACAACCAACTAATTAAGATTTAAACATGTGATATGCACTCATAGTTGGGCAGTTTTTATACTACATATTTTTCTTTAATTAACTCCTAACAAAATTCATAACTCAAATTAGAGTAACTCAATAAAACTAGAAATGATAAAAATCCGATTTGTTTCTTATTTGTTGTCTTCATTTAAGCTGGTTGGCCAGCTGTGACTGTAAAATTGTGTCAAAGTGAGTACCTCCGACTGTGTGTTTATATTGTACCGTTCTCAAATTGTTTGAATTATACTGTCAAGTATTTTAATAAAGTCTTACTCTCGGTCTTACTGTAAATGACGCTATTTTATTCCGGTGTCATCGAAGAACATTGCAACTAACAAATTCGTTCTATTCAACGAACCGGAATAACTGCAATTTGATATCGAGAATTATTAATGCACTTATTGCAGCCGCTCAATTATCACAAAAAGACCTGCTGACAATTTCCTGATGCTAGAAGTAATTGTAATTTTGATTAATACATTTGAACTGCGTTTGTAAAGACTGCAGAAACGGTAATTACAACTTGTTCCTTTCCGTTCTTCTTCCTTTTTATTGTAGAAATCAGTTGTCTTGTGCCTTAATTCAGCATCTGTAACCCAAGTAAGTAATTACTGCGTTAGGTTTTTCCTTAGGTTTTAAATGATAATTTAGTAAGATATTATTGATATCTTTTTCGCATACTACGCTTCTCAAATTTTTAGGTGAAATCCACTGACGTACTTTATCACAGTTTAATCCGTCTGATATTGTCATAATTAAGATTTGTCTGTTGGAGCGTCTGTCTTTGCATTTGTTTCGTATTAGCATGGCTCGCTTCGGAAACACAGCCACACAACTCAATTAGTTTTCGGTTTGGTTTGTAGATGTTTTCCCCCCAAGAGAATAACATTATCTTCTCAGATGTTCCCCCGAGTTTGGTTTCGCATGCCGTACTTAATGTATCCGTAATATTACTTCACGGTTCCCATCTCCGCGCACATTTCGCAGTCGCACATGCACAAGATACTATTCGGTGTAACAAAACATTGCACTTATCAGATTAAAAACGCCCGTAATATCCACCATAAAAGATAGTATAGGGTGCCATAAACGTTGAATAACGAGTCGTTGCCGCTGGAATAATGGCGGCCTTGTCTCGGCCGTATTTGCATAATCGTGAATGACAGTTTCCAATGGTTGCTGCGATCATGTTCCAAGTGTTTATTAATGTGACGTCTTCTCAAAACCGGCCCTGATGGCTTTATGGGAGTGACTGTCTCGAGAGCATCATCGGCTTCCAAAACAAACATGACGCGATACACTGTTACCGATTTGATGGAGCTCTTCGCTTTATTTTACCCCACACTTCTTGTGTTGGCGGTGAAAATAAATATATCTCTGAAGTCGACTGAGAACTTTTTTAAGTATCAATTTGCACCCACATCAAAATTTGTTATTCGTTTGTAAATTATGCTAAATTGCTGAAATAAAGGAAATCTGCCTCCGCATACGCAATTACATTTCAGCACTTTCTGAACCATATTTTTATTCTTCACCTGCTGAGGATACTGAATTTTTTCTCAACACAAGTTTTGTTGACCACTAACAAACTTTACGACTTGCATGACGTTTTCAATGGATTCACATACTTTCCCAAGGTAAAAATCAACCCATTTTGTTTATTCAATATTACCATTGTGGTTGAATGACTGCATTTACGAAGATGATCAAGCATAAATTTTCATCGATTTCATCGACCAGACAGTCAATATTTAAGTTCCACTGGTTTTGCCAGTTATAAAAAATTAAAATTTTTAAAAATATTGTCCTGTCTACGATTTGGTTTACGTCTTCCGTGCGTTGAGCTCGTATACTAAGGAGAAAATGCAGTATTCTAGTGCATGCAGTGAACATTGCTAGTTTGACATTAAATTATAATTTGATTAATGAACATATCCCATTCAACACGTCAATAAAAATCCAGCAATTTATGTCTTCAATCACGTAATATATTATGTTATTAGTTTATGAATGAGCATCAACGATGCAATTGCGTCATTTCACCAAGAACATGATGCCAGGTCTAGGTCAAGTTTTGCTATGGATTTTGAACTTGTGGCTGTGAAACGATAATGTCTGCATGTTCTCACCATGTTCAAGTTGTACTAAACACCTACACAAAACTTTTTCACTGTTATAATATATTGAATTACATAGAATGAATATCATATTTATTAATATTAACACAATCGTGTCTTGTTTATCAGAAACATAAAGGTCTTTTATAGAGAGTACAGCCCCAACCAGTAGATATAAACCGTCAACCAAAAGAAACATTTATTCGAAATAAAATTTTAAAATTTTTAAATATAATTTCCAGGTTATTTTGTTTTATAAAAAAAAAAACGATAAAATATTATTTAAAATCCTAAAATCTCCTTTCTGTGGACTTTCCGTTATACATATAGTATATAAAAATCATGCATATACAAGCGTGTGTCTTATCATTAATTGAAACTCTAACGGTCACCAAATTCTCAGGAATCCCTGGGCTTTGGCTTAATTTGCTTGTCATTGTTTGTTAACGGCAGCTTCGGTGGTGAATGACAGTGATGAGAGGTCTTAGTTCAAGGGCATCGAACGAGGTTACAGGTCATCCGTCCATCAAGCAAAGCGTGAATGTTGATACGTCAGTCATAAAGCTGGCTTGGTCGTCAAAGCTGAAGAAATTACATCACTTTTCTGAAGCTATCTGCCGCTGACCAACCTTAATGCATGTATGAATAGGAGAAATGATTATTGAAGTTGCAGTATCATGTATGCACGTCAGGCGCTCAGTGGAATGTTGATTGGCTGAAAACAAAAATGAGAAGTGTAATTAACGAGTGGTGAGCAGGCACGAGTCTTCAAGTGTCATCTTGTTTTATCTTCTTCTAAAGCGATTTCCGAGAGAATGTTGGTCGTATTTGGACTGGAGGGTCTTCCGCCATGTTCGCTTTTGGTTCTCGCCCTGCAATTATCTCCTACTGTGATCTTTATGTGCGGCGATATGTCAAAAATCCCAAGTATTCATGGAAATGACAAAGTAAATGAAACTTTCCGGGCGGTTAGCTGCAGACTCGGTCTGCCTTCGCCAGAATTAAAATTCCCCCTTTTTGCAACTTAATTACTCACATGACATAAGATTGGATTTTAATTAAAACGTGAACCTCCCCATGGCGTCATTTTTGACGTAGGCGTCCGAAGCTGAATTTATTATCATCCGGATCTTAAATAAACATTCAATGAATTTAAACCGACACAATTCCGGTTGATTGCCGGATCAAATAAATTCGATTGGATGACGGGACGGTTTCGATAATGCCCGGGTTAATATCGCGCACGGTCCGGCCCTGCCATTGACGTATTTCCACGCCTGTCTCGCCCTAATTGCTATTTATAGCTTCACACCACACAATTCTTCGACAATTGCGGTTCTGACAACTTGACTAAGTGCCACAATTAAAATCTTAAGATGGCTTACAATAGGGTGCATACCACCCACGTAACGATACGTTACGACCTAAAACAACGACTTTGCAGTTAGATTCGGTAAAATTTAAATTTATGAGCGTGTGACTGCCATATGGGGGAAATCGTGTCCGATACAGAGCAAGGGAAGTCCCTAGCGGAGAACCTGATTTGAATAGGGCGGCGAGGGTAGCCCAGTGTCGCTGACATTCCGCCAGAATATGCTTTTGAATTAACTCATTTATAGCCATATTTTACAAGCGGAAGTCGACGGGAATGCACCGGTCGATAACGTCAACCTGTCGACTATTCATGAGCGAGTAAAAATGTGAATGTCATTTACGGGAAAGAATTAATGCCCTCTTTAGGGAGCTTCTAATTTTAGCCATTTCTCAAGTTGCGCGGCAGCCGCATGACAATAGCAGATTTTTGAAAAACTATTCTGAAACTCAGAATCAATATTAAAGCAGACAAAATAATAGACATTGACTTCTCCAAGTTGTTTGTTTGACTTGCAATGGAAAACACGTTAAAAGACGGCATTTCACTATATTTAGCTCAAGTCTCAAGTTAATGTGACGTCTGTGGGGTTACTGTTTCAGCTAGTATTAAAATCACCCGCTGTTTGAAAAACTATCGTGGCCCGCAGCGGTGGCACTTTACAAAGAAATGCAGGGTATTGTTTTCTGGGGGAGAACACTGAAAGCCGCCATTAATTCGTCTAGACGTCCATAAATACATATTTCACTAAGCTTCGTTTTTGCAAATGAGCACCTTTTATAATATCCACGCCTACCGAAAAATAATTGGCATTTGAGTTGATCGGTTGTAGCGAAATCTATCGATTCAGTTAGCCGAGGAATCCGCTAAACTTATTTATGGCTAAGGTTCGGTTGTAATTTTGGTCCGTATGTCGTTGCTCATTAATTTATCGGGAAAACAATGCGAATAAGTTGAGCCCCTTACTGTGAACGCGTCGGCGGCCATTTGGCAGTCGAGCCAACATAACAACTCGCAACGGGAGACCTTTCTTTATATTCTGTCAAGTTTGTTTCCGCCAGTCGTGTCAATTAGGACCTCTCACCACCCTCAGACCCCGCAAATTAATCAAAAACGATATTATTGCGCCCCCAGAGGAAGTACCAAATTGCTCTAGAATTTCTCACCTGATAATTAGGCAATTGTCGTTGTTGATGAGGTCCCCACACCAAATTGATGATTAGCCTGTTATTATCATTAATACGAATGGATGTTACCCGGTGATAACAACACTAACCCTCCACGACCAGATGCTCATACTGTGCAAGTCTGTGATGGCTTGAATTATTGCGACACTAACGTAGAGACTGTAATTTCATTAGGCGGAACTGATGCCAACGAGACGGATAACTAACTCACAATTAGAATAATTTCAATTTATGACCCACATTCACCCACTGATATTATTTCATTGAAAATCAAGCTAAATATATTTACGGCATAAAGCAAATAATTTGGCACTATTTGCACCATTTACTATTTTACACCATAATTATATTACTGCTAATGGAAACATTAATTACTTTAAATTTTAATTGAAAGTTATGGGCCATTGTTGCAAATTGTGCTTTATGACTATTTCATTCACATTCATAATTCTACACTTGGTAGAAATAATTATTTCTAAAACTTTAAGTATACTTTAAGTACTCGTATAAGAGTACAGTAGTGACACTGGTAAAATTCTGTATAGTTGTCGTAATTTTGTGTGTTATCTATTTTTTTTAATTTCAAAAACAGTAAATCAAGAAACTTAATTTTAGCACTTATTTCCTACACACTAAATTAGGAAAAGCACGTACTCTCATTGAAAAAAAATATTTGTTACTATACAGGGTTCTGTTTTTCGAGCTCCATCATGGAAATCTCAGTTATTGTAATAGATACGAGGTCGGTTAACCCATTAACGCCCAAATAATATTTTTATGGAATTTTTTGATAAAATTTACAACATGTGTTATTTTGTTCACAAAGAGTGTAGTTTTAAAGAAAACAAAAATTTTTAGGAAACAGTTTTGGCACAAAGGACTGTCCTCTAAATAGGACGCTTGGCAGATGAGTGAATAAAAGTAACACAAATTTGTTACCTAAATGAAAACGGTAAAATCGTGTTAATTAATTTTTTTAGTAAATATTCTAATTAAAAAATATGTTTTCATTGTTTTTTAAATTTTTAATGACTTTCTGATGTTTCGACCGCCTTTACCATCTAGTAAACTACTCTGGTTCCTAATGGTTTTCTTGTATTCTCTGCCGAGTCTTTGCCAGAATTCAAAAAAAAAAAATTGTATCAAAATCTTTGCCACACGCTGCTCAGAATTTGTAACTGAACCTTATCAGTATCGCTGTAATAAATTGTATTAGGACGTCGTCAGTTTTAGAAATGTCAAAAATTTTCTCAAATATTTGGATATAAAAAAATTCGACGTTTTTTTATCGCATAAAAGTTTTCGTTCTATGTCATGTAATTCCTGATGGCCTACAACTGTAATATCCAAAAGGTCTTGATTTGTTTCGACTGCAAGCCGTTCTGCTAAATCGTTGGCGTCAGATCCTCCAAATTTTCTCCTTTTGTATCCTTTCCGTCAGGGAGACTATGGACCTCAGGAGGCAAAACTACAATTTTCGCTTTGAAATCTTTGGAATTTAGTTATTTTACCGCTCCTTCAAATGCTATAAAGGATTTTTTTAACATTTTTGTAAAAAAGCACTAAAAATAAGTTTTTGAAGAAATATGTGTTTTCGTACCTTTAACGCCCAGCGTCCTATTTAGAGGACACCGGAATTTAATGGCACTTTGCAAAAAACACCAATTATTTTCAGTCCAAGTGTTGAATGCAATCAACACATACACTTATATTTTTCACTAAAATGACAAAAAGTAGTATTTACCTTTTATGATATAATAATATTGGTACAAACTATGTAATATTGCATGCTAATAAAAAAATTACAATATTTACGAATTTGTAATGTGCATCAAATGCTTGTTTGCGACAAACTGAGCGAAAAAAACAAGGGTTTATTATGTCTATTTTTAGACGGGATAAGAGTAAGTTGTTTAATTTACCCTCAAATGATTGAAAAAAATTCTTAGAAATCTGTCCTCTAAATAGGACGCTGGGCGTTAATGGGTTAAATTAAGGTAAAGTTGCGCATTTTTATGCTGAACAATTATCTGAAAGAAAATTTAATGTGTCATTTTTAGTTTTTGAATTATGGAAAAAAAGGGAAATTTGAAATTTTGGTTTTAATTTTTTCAAGCGAAAACTAAAAGATCTAGACGTTTTTAACTAAGACGTTCTTAAGACACTTTACAAGGCATCTAAATAAGTTATCGTATTTTCCAATGCGTTTTTGATGTTACATTCAACTTTGGATTTTCTTATGGACGCTATAATCCGATTTCTGTAAATGAAAAGTTTATGTTTCTAATTACAACGATCACACGATATGATCAAATTTTACATGCTGATCAAACTTAAGAATATATAAAAACGAAAATTACAAATTTCTCTTTTTTGCAATAATTCAAAAAATAAAAATGACATATTAAATTTTCTTTCAGATAATTGTTCGGCATAAAAATACGCAACTTTTCTCTAATTTAACCGACCTCGTATCTCTTATATAGTAACTGAGATCTCCATAGTAAAGCTCGAAAAACGGACATCCTGTATAGACGACCTATCTATTATTTTTTTTAAATCGACATTTTTTTTTAATTATACTTAATATAACATCCTGTAATTAGCTTTCCATCAGTAGATTGGAATGTAAGACCGCGATGGTTCGTAACGCCACTTGGTGGTGCAGTGGACAGTTAAAACTTAACAACTAAAACACACAACCTAAAGCGAGTCATGTGTTGCAGTTCTCACACTTTGATTAAAATTGACTGTATCTTAATGGAAGAACGCAGTTCTGCAATTGTTATTTCGTTTCAACTTCAGTTAGGATTAGCTATAAAAAAAACAACAATAAAAATACTTTAATGTTTCCCGTAGACCGTAAAAGTAGATATCGCTTGTCGAGTTCATATTTTCATAATGATATGTGTACATATTTAAGATTTCTTACCTTCATGGCGTCAGTTTACTTGCACGCAATCAGCAAATGCGGATGAAAACGAACGTCGACGTTTGGCGCAATTGCAAAACTAGAATTATGACACTCGAGTCAAACGGCAACGAACTGATCCGTAACTGCACAAGATAAATAATTTAGTAATTGCGGTTTCCTAGAGAGCTCCGGCAATTAAAGCGAGAAAAATCCAGGCTGCGATGCCCGGAGCAGGTCGGTTTGAATGCAAATAATTTTAATGGTGTTGTAAGTAAGGCCCATTCAGCTGGTACAATAAATCATCGACACGCGGGTCCGCGATTTTTACCATTGTCAGGACATCAATCACGCTAATGCTTGCGCTAGCCCATTGAATCGATCACCTACGCAATTCTGGTTTAATATGCACCATAATTATCAATTGTACTTAGATCTGATGCGGCTGGAGCTCCCACCCAGGTGCGAGAAGGGGCCGGTAACGTCGGAATCTCCATTGTCTTTCGCTAACATCTCTATTTCCTTGACACCCTATGATTATAAATACGTGTTCCTCCCATCGGCCCACACACGACATCAGACTGTGACTGTTTTCGTGATCGTAAATGTTTATTACTTAAAATGCATGGTGCGGTCGCCAACCCCCGCCCCTCGCTTTCGATAAGTGTGTTTTAAGGATAATGCAGCGGTTTGCTTGTTATATTGATATTCGTAATTGTTAAGGTCATCACGACATCGAAAGCTATAATATAAACGCCTAGCTAGGAGTCTTGACTGGAAACCAGAAAACGGATTTTTTAAAACAGCTATCAAAGTTTTGATTGCTTTGATCTAATCAACGTGCGAAGAATAGGTAGTTATTTATTCAAGGAGTTTGAGGGTAAATCGGACGCTTTATTTTACGAGTAGATTTTTAAACCACGTGGTTTATCATCCACGAGGTGGAATAAATAAACCGCTTTACACAAAGACGAGTTAAATACAATATTTTATTCTTCGAATTAGACTCAAGAAGGATTAAAATTGCTTTAAATTGTTAAATTGTAAAAAATAATCTGACGTTTCGTATTATATTGAGAAAAGGCAAACAGTTGTCAAAACTTCCTTACATCATAGGAGGAAAACCGTTAATTTTGACAGTGTCGAAAAATAGAATTATTACAATTTTATATTCTTATTAAGTCTATGAAAAATTCACGTTCTGTGCAATGAAAGTAAAACGAATACTGACTTTTTTGATTTTATTGTCATTTTAATTAAATAAAACTCCTGGTGTCGCTTTTTACAATACATTGTTTATTACATTATCAACCCTTATAACTAAACTATATTCTTTTGTAAATTAATAAAATAGAAGCAAAAAGGAAAATTACAGGTGTATTAGTTTTCATAAATTCCGTTGGTTAGACGGAGCCAAAGTTTTAAAACCATCAACGTCAAACAACAAAACCACTCGGAAATAATTATTTTCAGTGCTCATGGAGTCTTTTGTACGATAAGGGCCTCTTTGGGTTAATGTAAAACGAAAAGGCCTTTGCGTAAAAACATCCAAATATTGTTCGTGGGCTCGTTAAAGACGAAATTAGCCAGTGAATCCGGAGATTCTGGCTATTTGTGAGGGTAGGCTACCTTTGTATGCATATTAGCGGTGTTATTATGTTAGTAAACCAGAGTAAATACAGCGATGGCGGTGAAAATAGGGGATTGTTTACGCGAAAAGGGGGTGCATATAATGTGAATATGGAGAGCTAATGTAATACTGTTAATCTCGTTTACTAGCTCGAAACCCTTTAAAATATGTTTAATTCGTAACATTACACCGAGTCGAAATGATGTTCTCTTGTTATTATGTTGGAGTTTGGATTTTTAAAGGATCGAGTTTAATGCAATGATTAGGCAAATTAGATAATTTCAAAGCGACTCCTTTGAACGTGAGATGGAAGGCATCAGGGTGATGGGCGGAATAATGACACGCTCAGGCTATAATTAGAGATGCAGTCTTTAACTAAGCCATTGCACCACCATGTCTTTGGTTACGCTTCAGCATTGCAACACTGCTTCAGGCAAATTTGTCCGACGTCATATGAACTTACCCAAGATATTGCGCTTGTTAACATAATAGTAATTACTTCCCAGACAGCTGTCACTGAAAAACTAAATTAACAACTTTAAATCTGTTTCAAAGTCTTCTTATCTTTAGTAAACTTCAATTTTTAAATCTCTTGTTTGCCACAATTCAGGTTCACGTCATTAGCTAACTGACATTATTATGAAAATTCGTGTCGGAAAGATAACAGCAAAAATTCTCTAATCTGCTGATTATGGTAATCATTAAGCTTTATTGACTTGCATCAAGGTAGTTTCTCATTAACTCATGATGATAATTGTTTTATCGTAAAGATTTTCTTTGATTCGGTATAAATTTCGAACGTAAAATTTCAAATACATATTTGTAAATACTCGTACATATACCTACGTCTTGAAAAAAGCTTGTAAAAAACATAGATTTAAGTGATTTTTTTATAAGCAGATTGATCCAACATTTCGACCCTAACAACATAAAACTGCTTCTTTTATATCAAGCAAGATATGGTCCTTGTATAACCATGGAATAAGCAGGGGTCGCGTCGCTCATAAAAAGCCGCGAAAAGAAAGACATTTGACCCTCGTCGAAGGGACCATTTGCTACCCTCCAACTCAATTTGATGCAGTTAGCCTATACGGTCGCAATCGATCCTAGTCTTTAAGAATTCTGACATAGGGGCGTTTCTATGTCTTGTCTAATGACCCCCCAGTGGCAAAATTGACTTTGGAAAAAACCGCAGCCTGATATATGAATACGTAACGACACGTGTTGTGCACCTGCACCCCGTATTGAATTTGATTACCCTCAACAATATATTCTTTATAAGGCAACCCCAACATTAAGAAAAACACTATTTTTTTTTAATTAATCAAGTTGATAGACAAGTAAAAAGTGTGATAGAAGCATGTGTCTAGTAATTTAAATTTAAATCTGATAAAATTTCAATATGGTCCAGTATGTCGTGCGACGTATGGGTTTCTCTCAGGATAGCTGACAAGACAACAATGGCTCCCTTCATCCGTTATTTCGCACAACAAAGCTATGAAGTGATATTGGAAATAGAATATTTCGCTCCGATACACTCTTTCATGCCGTCAAATGTAAATAAGGGATGCAGCCAATGCAAAGGGTTGCTGATGGATTAAATAGGGAATTAATTTAACGCGTCTGATGCAGTTGCGGTTTGGATACGGTGCCATGTGCATTTTTGACACACTTTCACACGTGTACTTAACGTTTAAGCGTTAAAGCAAATACTGCTTTCGGTTCAAATGGGATTTTTAGAAAATAGGCTTTTTCAATAATTATTCACGACATATTTGGACTTGTTTTAGTGACATTTATATTTTCTTAAAATATTGCTGCATCAATATGAAAAAGGGCTGCAAACATTAAAATATAAAACTTCATGAAACAAACAGCCATAAATAAGGACGATAAAATTTTTATGAACAATAAAAAAGCAAAGAGAAACAGGCCGTTTTGTTGTATTAAATTATTTTTAATAAATTTCATATATCATCTACGTGTTTTTATGTGGTGGTAACGCGATAACACCGAGTAAATCTTCTTGTGTTTAATATCTGACTTTCATTTGCCTTCTCTTGGTGTTATTTATTTTTGAGGACAAACAGCTGTTGTTAAAGCTTAGACTTCCGTCGACTCGGAAATAAATAATCCTGAATGACGTTGAAAATTGTATGAGATTTCCTCAAAACGTCCTAAGATCAATAATACTTAGGGTAATTGATTGAAAGTAATTAATGTATATTAATTCTCGACAACTTCTACGCTTGTCAATATCGAATAGACCACCGCGGTTAAGATATTCATGTTCATTAACAATACCCTCACGACTGCCTGCGAGCTGTCAGTGCTTCTCACAAATGCCTATCCCTCTTTTGTTCTGGTTCCATAACGGAATATAAATTGCAAAGTATCGCCTCGGAAAAAAGACATCATTTTAATTTATTACTACTTAAATCAATAACGACCATGTTTGCGCGTTTATTGCTACCTTCAGTTCCAAATTACTTCGATAAGGACAAATGTTGTCTTTATTAAAATTTTATTCGACACAGGAAACGGTTTAATTTGACGGACGTAAAATATAATTGAGAAGATTGGCACATAGGAGTCTCCCTGTTTAATTTGAAATTTTATTAGTTCCAGATGAAAAGTTTTACGATACCCGGACTCCTCCGCTTCGAGTAGACATCGTAAAAGCTTGCGTTCATAACAAATTAATTTTTGACGACGTCCAACACATTCTGGTATAGTAATAATAATCAACTATTTGTCGAAATGTCTCAAATTTTTGCCTACAGAAGCACTTGCTTCCTCCTATGATTCCTGCTGGCAAGCAAGCCTTAGGTCCAGTTATTATATACACATTAAACGGAAATAATAACGGAAAATTAGCACATAATCAAAACAAAATTCCACTTTATGCCGGGATAAATGCAACATCAAAGAACATTACAATGAAACATCGGTTGCGGTCTAATCAAAGTCAACGCAACAATTTCCGGGTTTCCACGAGGGAGGAAAAAACACGCTTTAGCCCCGAGCTTTTCTCCTCCAATTTCAATTAGCATAAAATGAAATAAGACAATACCATACAAGTCCTAAGGGATTGACACTGTCGCTACGCTTTCGGTCAACAATTTGTCAAATTTTGAGCCCGGGGTTAAGCACACGTGTTTTACGTGAAGGCACGTGCACACAAAATCCTTACGTCGATGCTTACTCAGACAACAGCCTATATCAGGATTTTCTTGAACCCAACGTTAGCATCATTTTGCTACACTTGTTTTTCGGTCGACCAAAATGTTTTTTCAAGCCTCCTCGTAGCATAAATTTGAATAATAACTGATGTGTATTTCAATTAAATATCGATAAAAATAGATGGGTTTATGAGTAAAAAAAAATAAATCACATTTTAAAGCGTCTTAAAAGATAAGAGGAACACGCACATCCTTTCAGAAACGGCACGCATTTATCTTAATCCCTGTTAATCCCCACACCACATTTTCGTAAGAGTTAAAAAAAATCTTACTTACATATGTCGTTTCAAATTAATAATGACGTGTTAATCCGCAAAACGCCCTTTAATGAACCTTCCTCCCCTGTTGTCATGAAACAAAAGTATAATTTATGACATCCTGTACATTTAACATAAACCAAACATTTTATGAGTATTTAAAAACGTCTGAAGCCGTTTCGGAAATCCTCAAACCCCATAAAATCCTATATTCGTTAAAATAACCAAAAACAGAATTCAGAGAGTCTTCACAGCCTTTTTACTCGGCGGAAAACATATGTCACAATCTCAGCCTTGCTAAATGTCTAATAAGCTGGAATTTTAAAAACCAAAAGAGCATATACAATGTAACATACATCTAGTCTGTTTTTTTAAAATGGAAATGTCAAACAGGCTTAACATTAGCACCACTAGCAAATTTATTTATTCATGGTATTTTTATTAAAGAAAGTTCCAGTTTTTTATTTAATTTAAAAATATTGTTATTAAACATCAGCAAAAAAAAAACGTCTAAGAAAACTTAAAAAATAGAAAACAAGCATGAATGAAAAAGAACACAGTTTTTGGAGAATTAGTCGAAAAAGTAACGATTTTGAAACTAAAGCTGAAGAAAAATTTAGAACATGTATCAACTTCGAGCACAATTTAATAAATCGAACAAAATTTATTTTTTATTTTCATAATACCTGCTTGTAGTCTAAGAGCCCGCGGTCGCCAGACCTTCGTCATTTTATAAAAGTTGAAAATTTGTCAGCGCGTACTACCAACACAGGTAGGAACGATAAACAAGTATGAAATTTAGGTCATCGTGGATTTGGGAGATAACAAGTAGCAAAGAATTAAAAAACACCAACTTAAATTTATCAAGTAAAAAAACCTAATTTCTTTATATTTTCTTCGAAATAATATTAGAAATCACCTCATTCACTGCTATTGTGACAACTCCTTGTCAGGCACTCTTAAACTTTAATAAATTGTAACTGTACTTACGTTATAGTATCAAAGCTGAATTTTATACATGTTACTTGGGTAACTATTAGAAGATGTTATCTCAGTAGCCAGACAGTTTCTACATAGTCCGGTCAAAATAGACATTTCAAATAACAAAAATTCCGACAGAGCTAAATTTTGGTGGAGACCTTGGGTACACCATTAGAAATAAAGTGTCAAAAGTCCCCATCGATCCCATGTGTGCTAAAAAAGTTATTCAGAGTCAAAGGTCAAAATTTGACGTTTTATATTTTTTTTCGGAAACGGTAAGTTTTATCAAAAAAGTAGCCCAGACAAAAATTATAGATCTTAAAATTATCTACAAAATGGTCTATATACTTTTTTCCTAAGAATCACCATTCCTGAGATATCGCGATTTTAAAAGTTGTAAGAGTAACGTTCTACATCATATGCATATACAGAGTGCGCCAGAACTCGCGCCCCAAAGACAAATGTCATGTAGGGTAAGGTACCAGGAACATAAAAAAAATTAAAAAAAAATTCTATCTATAAAAATTTCGAAGATAGGAGAGTTTAAATTTTGCACTTTGCCTTTATTTATTTCTGTTGGAAAAACAATTTTCCAAGTTTTTTTGCTACAGGCTGTTAGAAGAGGAATCAAGGAAGCTGTATCCTAAATTGCAACTCTGTTCAATGTTATTTGTGGCTTTCATTGACAAAATTTTTGTACCTTTAGTAAATAATTATAAAAAAACATATACAAGATCATCAGTATCATTAAATAGACATAAAAAAATGTCAAATGTCAAAAAATAAATGTCAAAAATTTTTGGCAGATAGTATTTTTTAAACATTTTTTTCATGTTCCTGGTATCTTATCTTACTTGAAATTTTTCTTCTACTTCATTAAACTTATGAATATCTCGATTCCATTGGAATTAAGAATTTTTTTGGTAAAACATATAGAGTGTTTAAAAAATTTCGCACTTTCTTGAAAGGGAGTAATTGGGTAATCCCCAGAGTACTGAAAAAATGTTTAAAAAATTCTATCTGTCAAAAATTTTTGACATTTATTTTTTGACATTTGACATTTTTTTATGTCTATTTAATAATACTGATGACCCTGTATATGTTTTTTTATAATTATTTAGT